AGTCGCTACCGACTCTGCATGGAAGAAGAAAAGCACAAAAATCTTGGAGAACACTTCAAGTAAAGGCACCTGGCTGCTACATTGTACGAGCTCTTCCGACATGCTCACCTGCTTGTTTTCTGCCAGCAGAGTGATCCTGTTGCTCATTAAGCGTTTCTTTGCGTCATCCAATGCTAAATACCACCTAAAAGTGAAAGGAAAAGGAAAACGCGGTGTAAAAAGTGAGCTCGGGAGAGGAATTGCTTTTGAGTTGTGATGGGCTGGACAACTACGGAGGCGTCAGAACTGCTACTTATTAAGGCCGGAGCGTCTTCCTTATTTGTTTTGAAGCCGCGATGGTGAGACAGTCTTAGAGAAAGGCAAGCGGGATATTGTACAAGGATGGACGCCTTACGAATCGGTCCAGGGGCTGTCTTCAATAAAACATTTAAATTTGCATCTGCTTACTTTGCATCTACTCAAGTGATAGTCGCCGTCACAAACCGCTTTGCGTTCCTAGTAAAGCAGTGTTCGTACGTTTCGTCGGCGTCGTGAGCGTTTTGAGCATTTCGAGCTCCGTGGAAGAGAGAAAATATATACATTGAGATATTTAGCGTCTTAGGAGAAGTGACAACGTTTTGAGCGTTTCTAGCGAAAAGGAAATTATTGATATCGGCCCAGCTTTTTAGGAGGAACCCCGGCGTTTTGTGCGCTGATCGATGCCTGTACTAACGATTTTGCTGAGCGAAGTCAAAACGCTGGTTCAATACCTGTGATTTCCTTGTCGCCCGAAACGCTAAAAACACCAACAAGAAGTATGAACCGAAACGCTAAAACGCTAACAAGAAGTATGAACGCTGCATTAGAGTACCTTAGTGCAGTTCTTACCTAACAGCACTGATGGGAGTTTGGTCCAGGAGATCCGCGTAAGGAAAAAAAGGACAAGGAAAAAAGGTATGAATCGAACTGGAATCTGGGAAAATTTGGGAATAATCAATACGTATCACATCTTTTCGCGTATTTTCCAACCCTCCCAGGCTCCATGTTTTCTATTTTTTCCACATTTGTCGCTTGTGTGGTTAAATGGTGGTTATATTGAGACTGGACATCGATCTTCCAGCTACCGCGCACATAATTTTCGCAACCCGTTTTGTGACAGCGATTTTGCTTCTTCACATTCACGAAACAGTTGCCGTATTTGCCTCTAATATGTCGTGTTTCAGCCTCATCATATTTCAATAATTTAACACCGAAATTCTACGTTGCCCTTACGGGTACATCTAGTCTTGTTTCTGGAATTATATTGATATTCGAATGGTGGTACTTCAAAAAGTGAGCATTTTCTCTTAGACTTCGCTCATTCGCTTTGTGACTATTTTGTATCCTATGCTTGCAGTAATGCGGTAGACTCTGTAAGCGAGGATGGGAGCGACAACGAGGATGCGCTGGAAAATCAGAAGGCAATACCAGGTAGCCTTTTGGTTGTTGTAATCTTATAATCTCAAATCCTTCATGGCTGCACATCAAGACAGGCAGTTTCGAACTTGCTCGCTGTTCGTAGCGGGGTATTTTTCGCCGAAAAGGCCTCAATGCTGGGAAGCTCCTACTGCAGCATTAGGCCGAGATTGTTTGAGCCATGTGCGGGAACTATAAGGACTTCGTTGGTTCGATTAGAGACAAAATTAGCTGATAGACCCTGAGATCATGCTTTTGAGAACGGGACACTTTCGATTTCGACCAAGTAAGGTTGCCTTCATATTTTGTACTCGAAACGAAAGTAGAATCGGCGGTTTGACGTTTAATGAGAATACGCGCCCGAGAGGTAGATGGAAATAGAACAACTCCGGTTGCGTGTCTTGTCCCGAATCAACTTGTCCTATTCTTCTTTTATCCTGAGTCGTAAAGTATGAAAGGGGCCTGAACAGGGTCCAATTCAGCTTTCTTTGGCGGTGCCAGCGCTCTGCTGGAGCGGATCGCACGATACGAGCGATCCATCGCGCAGTATGAACGCGCACTTACCGTTAGTACAATTCCTATAGCTTCAGAAATACGCCCTTTTCCTACATTTAACTGTATCTACTTTACCTTAGAGAATCACCCTGCACCTCGTGGGTAAATTTCTTCACCATGAAACCACGCATAGGTCAGAATCACCGCAGGTTCTATAACGCCTCACTGGTCAATGTGGGATCGTTTGAAGTTCGAAAGTTGCTGATCATGAGATGTGTTGCTTATTCATGCTGCGTACCAGAATTAGAGCACAGTATCCCACGCGGCAAAAAAAACGCGTCCCAACATCGGGACGCAGTGTCGCCAATGCGTTAGAGTAAAGCTTCACAACGCATTCATAATTCGTGGGTTACGCGACCATGACTAGGGGCACTCCACCGCCAATCGGTGGACCGTCGCAGCGACAAAACCGATATTAGATCGCGTTTCTACTGTGCGTGGTCGCAACCCCGTTGAATTCTGCCGCTGCGGCGGTCCAGCAATTAGCGGTGTTGCGCCCCCTTTCCCCCGCCTGTTCCTTGGTCGAGCGCATTGAGTGGGTCGAGAGTAAGGGAGGGTGGCAGGCACCAAAAAATTTGGCTCTGTTTACGAGATAAGGTGATAAGGATAATCTGGCGTCGTACAACTCAGGGCAAAGCTTGCGGAAATACTTATTGATTTAGAGTGCAAAGTCTGGCGAAATCCAATGGCTTTATTTCGCGGTGCTGAGTATAACCGGTGTAAAAAAACGGTCATGAATCTCGATCCACTTACATATTACGATATGATATGAATCTATCAGCGCAAGATCACCAGAGCTTCTTCACTTGTGATGAGGACGTCGGAAGGCCGGATTATGACAGTGAGTGAACTTCAACATTTAGAACACGTGCCTCATCTTTTTATTGATTTTTAGGCTCCTTGCTCTGCGAAGCGCATCGGTTTTAGCCATTCTAATAGTTTTTATCCTAATCAAAATGTGGCCCACCCAGCGATGTTAATGGGATCGTTTCAGTCATGCAAGTCGCCTGGCGTGAACGAGATAGTGCATCGAGGATAAATGCTGCTCGAGAAGCTTTGCACATAAATCCGACTTGTGCGCCAGCTCTTATCTTGTTAGCAGAAGAACAGTGCGAGACGATAACTGAAGCAGAAGTGATGCTGAGGTAGTGAAGACTCGCTTTGGCCAATTTGAAGATGTGTAGAAACAGTGTGAAACTCCAAAAATTTATTTCAAAAGACACCAAAAGTCTCGAAAGTTTCTTGAAATATCTTATCTTGCAATATTTCAATGCGTAGCACCTTCGTCAGCCCCAGTTGTCCCGAAATAAATAAAAATGAACATTTTCACACTGCACCGAAATATCGCAAGATGAGACATTTTAAAAAACTTTCGAGACTTTTGGTCTCTTTTGAGTTTTGTGAAATAAATTTTTGTTTGTGAAATAAATTTTTGAAGTTTCACACTGTTTCTACACATTCAGATGAGAGAGGAGACTCCGGGACAGCACAATAGAACTCATGTTTTCTGTTCAGACGCGCACTGAAAGCTGTCGACAGCAGTCTCGGTCAGTCGCAGTCCGGACAGATAGTTCCCCATGAACGCTCTGGTGATATGTACCGTCAAGGGCGACGTACGTTGGAATAAAGTCAATTTATTGAAGCCAAGCCTTACATATTTGGATTTATAGGACGAGATTTCCATATGCAAATATACATTCGACGTCGACTCGCAATGTGTGCAAGAAAGCAGGGCCGAGTACGGGAGGCAATCAAAACGTTTAAAGACGTGAGTTCTGTTTTGCCGAGACTTCATTATGTACCGTGCCTCTTCATTGGAAGTACGCGCTATTTCGATAAATTGGTTACTACATTGTTCGCTTTTGTTTTCAGATCATTAGGGACGGCTCTATGAGTAACATATTGGGCGTTCAAGAAAATCTCATCGAAGCTTGCCTGGAAATGCAAGCGTACGCTGATGTACAGGCCCTTCTTGTTCGATATGATGGATTTGGTGAGTAGCGGTGAATGCGCCTTGTTAAAGACATCATTCATGGTTGGGTGAATGACAAGTGGAATTATTCCCTCATAACTGCCGGTAGCCGGGTTCGCGATCGCGGTCTGTATTACTTTTATCTTTTCAAAGTGCGTTTGTTATTGCACGGATCCTCGATTTTTAACGAGTTCCCGCCAATCACCGTGAATTTGTTGCCTGTAGCGCAGTAGATCGGTTTCAAGTGCTCTTCTAAGGAATGATATGGCGGCAATTTTTTTTCTGTCCGCACTCGCGCTTTCATTCTAGCATCTGAAACAGGGAAATGGGTGACATGCGCTGCTCAGAGTAAGTGCTCGAAAAGGCTTTCAGCTTGCTGGCACGAAACCAATAAGCTAGGAATTGTTACTTGCTCGCTGACAGATTCGTTCAAAAACTCTCTTAACTATATATATATAATATGTGAACTAGCGCCCCCTACACATTGTTTTATGGCTCCTACTACGTATGAAATTGCAGTCGCAAATGATGTTTTTGAAATAAAAAACTGGGTATGTGACAAGACAATTGTTGTATGTTGCGGTGGTGGGCGAGCGAGCGACACCGCGCACGCAGGAGACGAGTTGTCCTGCCCTGCCATTTGGAACTCAGTGGAAAAGGAGTGGTGAAAATAGGTATCGCGCTGGAAGCAGTCTTGCCCCTGTTGAAATTCATTGAGATTTGAGTTTTCATGGGTTTGCAATCAACACAAACATGCACATCGAGAATTTGCCGCCCGTAGTCCTGCGCGCGATGACGCGACAAACTGCGATTGTCTTGTCTCTCTCTCTCTCAAGAAACCTATCCAATCAACATGTTCTTGTAGATTTACGAGAGCCGAGGTCTGCAGTACTGAGCTATACATCTGCACTTCTGAAAGCACGGGCTGTAGCTGACAAGTATGCATTTTTCACTTTCGCTTTGAAATATTTCCTGCTCGTTCTTATGGAGTCAACTTTATTTGAAGATTCGTAGCCGACATTTCTACGAGGCGAGGTCTATCGTCAGCAGAAGCGACAGCAATTGAAGCAATAACCCGAGCAATAGAGTTCAATCCTCATGTGCCTCTTTACCTGCTTGGTGCGTCCCTTTCTTTCTTAGCTTGTAGCAGTGCAGTGCCTTTCCCTTATGGCTAGCCTTTCCAGAGTTGCGCCCTATGATTCTCCCTCCGGAACATTACTTGAAAAGGGGAGATTCGGAAGGCTATTGCTTATGCGTTCTTTCACATACAACACTTGGAAGCGTATTGATGGTGCTCTGCAACTTTTACAGTACACCTGGAAAGGAGGTACGATCTAGTCGAACATATGTACTGCTGTATATATCCGTGTAAGGCATTGTTCACAGTCTGCGAAGCTGCGTTTCTCTCAAAAGAAACGCTTCGGCGAAAAGCTTTCGATACGTATCGACTGGCGGTTGGGCGAAGAGTCTGGCGGTTGGGCGAAAGGGTTTTGATACGAATCGACGGGCGTTTCGCCAAACCGCGACGTTTTTCGCCTTCGCGAAACGCTAGCTCGACCGCCCTGGCGTTTTTCGCCAGCGAAATCGATACGCATCTATTGCTTTTCGCCCAACCGCCGTTTCGTCAGGTCGCAGACTGTGAACAATGCCTAATGTTCGCATGGTTTCAGATTTTGCGTCACGTTTTTCAATGAGTGGATATTGCTATCCATACTCACCTCAGCTTGAGTCCGCTGACAGAGAGCTTCTTCCTGGTAAGTTCGATACAAAAGCTTATTTTGTTGCATTCAGAAACTCAATGGGTGTATTCTTCTTTTTTACTCCATGCATAACACCATAAATGAGTTAGATGAGAATGAAATTAAGCTGGCGGTCTCTCGGGGCTCAAGGATTCGAAATACCTTGATCATTTCTGTATCCCTCCGTGCGCTGCTACCTTTTTGGGGAGCAGTGCTATAGGAATTGCTTATCATTACACTTACTCTTACTAACTATTCTTCTAACATCATCTCAACCTCTTCTAAGCCTAGTTCCGTTCTCCGGCGTGATGTCAGAAGCGATGGTTTACGGGTTGCCCGATTATGACCGCAGAGCAATAGCGATGGTGAAGAGGCAAGCCTAGTCCATGCTCTTACCTGCAGTGTTTCGGCGTGTCTCTTGTCATAACGCTTTCCGTAGAGTGCTTATACTGATGAAATTGGAATAGCGCTTTCTTTTTTGATCAATCACATTTTGCAGTGCCCCCAAGCATTCTTCTCCCATTTATAATGTCGTGGGCGTTTCAGATCTGGTGTGCCCATACAATTATTTATAATGCCAGGTGGTGTGGTGTTTAAAGGCAGTTGGCACGATAAATCCCCCAAGACGAGTAGGATTAATACGCCTGGCAGGACGGAATTCCGCGACCATGAGCTGCATAGCGCCTTTTCCAAGGAAGGTGCCCTTATAAGGGCCCTATCAAGCCACAACATACCGACCCAAACGCCCACCACGCCCGCCCGCCCACAAATGGACGACCGTTCCTGACGCTCGTATTCATTCATTTGCTAAGCAAATTATGAAGCGAAGGGATTGGTATGAAGCTGTGATGCTGCGTGGATATGTGAGTACACATCTAAGTCATTGAAAACGGAGGCTTTTTCTTCGCAGGATTTTGACCGTTTCACTCCGTTCTTTCGCCATTTCCCCACTATATAGCGCCCTACTAGCATTTTAGGCCGAGTACCAAATCATCGTGCCAACTGCCTTCAAGTTCGGATGGGGTAGGGTTACGGTGCGAGAGCCGGCCAGTGTGTATGTCGATGTTTTGATCATCTCGAAAAAACTAATTAACTGGTAACAGAGGGATTAATCATTGGTGTCCCGAGATCTGACTATCCGGTCCGTGTACACTGTAAGCGGCGTCAGTTGCTGCTACATTATCTTCGCCATATGTTATTGTTTGCTGCGGATGATAGGCCCCGTCGAGAAGGGATGAGTTTGACGCCGTGCCAGCCCGTTTCTTCCTTCGTTGAGCTATAAGACTGTACCATATAGTTCGTATCAGTCGTTTTCCACCAATTATTGTCGCTCACGCGCTCCAACAACTGGTAGAGAACGGGCCGGTGATGCGCCAAACTTAGCCGCACTGACACCCCTCCTCATTCGCAGCAAACAAGAATCTAAACAAATTCATTGCATTTTTTATGCTAACTATATCTATATTTTATTTTTAGCGTGGCATGAAGTTTCGGTGTTTCCGAAAAAAGAGAGTCCAGTCTGGGCATTGCTACAAACACTTTCATGTCTGGCTGTCTGCACCATTGCTCTTCTAGTTCACCATTATCCGACAAGTACTTTCGAAGCGATCCACTTTGTGAGTCCTACATTATTGACTACATTTTTCGAAATGTGTTTTGATATTCATGCTTATCAGTGTAAAGGCAGGTGTGTGATACTAAGCAAATATTCATAGTGGCACTTATATGATGCACTGAAGTTGAGCAGCCTATTTGTGGAACATTCTTTGACAGACAAGGAAAGTGTAGGGAGAGTGTATAGCTAGGAGGGAGTATTTTGATGTCATTTAAGATTCAGAGGTGTTTGTCCATTTCCCATGGTGAATGGTGAATTCTTCACCTTGCTTCCGATAAGCTGCTATATAAGAAGAATAGCCTTCAACCCTTGGAGACGAGCTCTAGTCTGGAATTAAATTGCAGTCTTGTTCACTGCGAATAAAGAGGCAGGTTATGCAGGATGTGTTTGACGCTGTGCTAAACCCATTCTCCAGCATTTTCTAAAGCAGTTGAGCGACATCAGTTGTGGAAAACGACTGGTACAAACGATACGATTTGGTCTTGTCACCTGTCGGCCTCAGCCACAGATGGAAAACGGGTCTGGCGCCGCGCCAAACCCATCCCTCCTGACATGCCGCATCATCCGCAGCGAACAAGATTATAGGCCATTGTTTTTCATTTTCTGCTAGTATTTTTAGAGGCACGCACGGTGGAACCGTCCAACCCGTGGTGCAGTTCTGTTTTGGAAGCAACTACCGATTTCAGCTGCTGCGTTATTAAGGCGGAGGGATAAATATTGAGGAGTACCTCGTAGCAGTGGGATTAAGACTGCTTGTCTGCATCTCTCACCAAAACTATAATCCACTTCATTCCCCAAGCCTAGCATTGGAGAAGCGCAGGCGACAAGAGGCATGGCTACAAGTCTGGCCGGCGGTGGGATAGGGTAGGAAGGCACTAATCAGTTGTTATTGTTTGATAACTGCTGTTTAACGCCGCAGTACGCGATACGAAAGTTATCACAAGAATGCTGAGTTGTGGGCAAAAGTCGGACCAACGTGTGAGTGCTCGAAGGCAATGGCACAAATAGCCATTGAGCTGAGAGGTCAAAAGTGGCCTCGGTAGCGTAATAGGGAACGCAGCGCACGGAAGCAGAAGATGCGGGTTCGAATCCCGCCCGTGGTCCGACTTTTGCCCACAACTCAGCATTCTCGTGAGCACTAATCAGTGCTATTGTGTCTCTTCACCTAAGCAAGGCTGAAGAGAATGGACGACCGGAGCCACTTAAAGACTGGCCACTACGCGATGACCATGACTTTCTGCGCTCTAAGCCGATGTCTTGGTGAGGTAAGGGCACGAAGCGCTGTGCAGTATCCTCTTCCCCATTCCCTACGTTAACACCATCTGGCCTCGTGAGGTGGCACCTCCAAAGTGCTAATCGAGAAAACTAGTTTTGCTCTTGCGTTTATTCTATGTGTTTCTTTCTTGATGAAGTTTGACTGACGTCAGTAGAGGATGTCTTGCCACCTTACTTGGTGAAGTTATTGATTTTCGTTCATTGTCAAAAATCTATTAGCGAGAATGTGCCTAATTTCAGGCATTTTCCGCAAGTGTGTTAGGAGTGCAGCGGCTAATTGCACACTTTCATCACTGGATTCCTGAAAATGTGATTGGTTTACTCGCTTCAAAACCAGCTCAAATTGTTATAGAAAACATGTAGTTTGTGCTGATTTTGCAGCCTTTCTTCTCTTGGGTATAATTTGGTTTAACGAACCATTTCCAATTAAAGTTCTCTTTAAGCTGTGATATTTCTATCAATGTCGCAATTTTCTTTTTTGTTTAGGACGCAAGTCTTCTCTATTCCTTTGTCCAAAAATGTCTTTTCTCGAGCAAACGTGTCCTGTGTCTATTGCGTGTTTAATACGATCCCTAGTCGATAGCCCCTAGTGCTAGTAATAGAGATAACGTTATATCTCTTCCAACGTAATTGATCTGATCTCATAAGCTGTCAACTTTCTCCGTATAATATGCACACCAATGAAGGTTTCATTTCCTGATTGACTGATACTGACTACTGAATCGATATCGACTTGATCTACTTAGAAATCCCCCGGTCAATAATTTTGCTTGGTTGTTAAACGTGATCTTTTTCCTATAGAAGTGCTTATGTCGTAATGTCGGTGCTGTCACCACCGGATGTGCGAAAGCTTGTTGAAGCACTCCTCAGCGATCTGCGACAACTTTCCACGGAAGCAAAAAAGAAGCATAATCATGTAAAGGAGGTAAGTGCTTGAGCATCAAAAAAGGGTCTCTTATAAGATTTGTTTGCCTTCGATTGTTTTCATTCGCTCTATGTACCATTCTACCTAAAGATAGCCTTAGAACTGTTCTACTATTAGGACTCCAAAAACTCAAAAATTTGTTCGCTGAATCTCCGCCTGTAGAGGTTCCTGAGTGTCCTGATCGCAACATGATATCCATTTTCGATGCTGGCCACATTTGTCCCCACCAATTTCCATGAGAAATTATTTTGATTTGCATTATTATTTAGCATCCTTATAACGAATATGTCATTCATTATTGGCGTCAAAGCTTCGATAGGGCACTGTGATTATCTGCACTCTGCCAATACATTGTTCACAGTCTGCGAACCTGCGTTTTTCGCGAAAGAAACGCTTCCGCGAAAAGCTTTCGATACGTATCGACAAACGGATCGGCAAAGAGTCGGTCGTTTTGGTACGTAGCGACGGGCGGTTCGGCGGAGCGGTTGGTCGAAAAACGCTAGCTCGACCGCCCTGGCGTTTTTCGCTCGGGCGGAGTCAGCGAAATCGATGCGCATCTAACCCTTTTCACCTAAACGCCCAACTGCGCTGGCATTTCTTCATAGCGTTGACGATTCTCCGACCGATACGTATTTATTGCTTTTCGCCGAGTCTCCGATTTGTCAGAGTCGCACACTGTGAACAATGCCTAAGGCTGAGCCTAGTGGGAAGGGGGCCACTGCTCCTCCTAGGCACTACGAATAGTATTGTTAGCTGAAACGACTTTCCTGACCCCTCCCGAATAATGTTTCCTTCAACTTCATGTTGTAATCGCTCAGGGGAAACTGAATTTCACTGATGTGGTACTTGATACCCTGAAATATCCAGGAAACCATAAAAGACGCCTCACAATTGGAATTAGCTTGAATAACGGAGGTCTTTCAGGTCGTGGCGCGCTTTTTGGAAATGGTTTGTTGCTTGTTGGTCCATACAAGGATCACAAAAATGGGTTTCATTTTTGCTATGCGTTTCTGGGAGGTCAAAAACTGAGTGAAAAAAATTTGACAAGAATGGGCGATTTTAACTATCTTAATGGGCTCCGTTCTGATTGTAACTTCGAGCATGCATAGTTTATGAGGTGCTCGTTAATTAGGCTTCGAAATGGTTTAAATAAAGTCAAAATGTAAGTATCATGTAGTAACACACTTGGCATGCACCGACGCAACAGTGATGTTTTTGTCAGCGGTCCCCTCACGCTCACTGTCGGCGGATCGGATGGCGCAGCGGATAACTCGATGGATTCTGGATGGGACGACGATACGATACTTCATTTGAACTATTTTCGAAGCCTAATTAACGAGCACCTCATAAACTATGCATGCTCGAAGTTACAATCAGAACGGAGCCCATTAAGATAGTTAAAATCGCCCATTCTTGTCAAATTCTTTTCACTCAGTTTTTGACCTCCCCAGAAACGCATAGCAAAAATGAAACCCATTTTTAAGATCCTTGTATGGACCCCTACAACAAGCAACAAACCATTTCCAAAAAGCGCGCCACGACCTGAAAGACCTCCCTTGTAAGAGATACGAGAGCACATCATTAAAGCAGTTCTATGGTGAGTTGTTAGCTTGAAATTTCGAGGAGTTCTTTCTCCCTTTGAGAAAACCATAATTTGTGTTCAACCATAATTTGTGTTCTTGGAAAGCTGCAATATTTCAGGCAGCAGAGTCGGGCGTTGTTCGAGTCCGAAATATCAGCACCGCGTCAGCCGAGGCAACGCTTCTCACCAATTTGCGAGCGGCTAGCAATGAATTGCTTCATCCGCTCATTCTCGCCTGTGCTACTCGACAAACTCGACTTGTTCAAATCGCCTTGCAAAGCATACAACGACTAGTTCAACATCGTATTCTGGAGGCGGTGAGTCAATGTATAGTCTTCATCTCTACACAATCAAAAATTAGCCAGTTTTGTTGCCCCAGTTGTAGCCGGTGACAAGTTGTCCATAATTTAGAGCTGTGCAAATGTAGTAGTCAGCGAATTATGGGGTCTAGTTGAAGTGGAGTGTGAAGAGCTTCGAGTTCTGCAAACCGTGCCACCATTGGTGTCGGCTGATCTTCTTGTTACTGGGAACACTCTTGCAAAGGTTTGTTGAATCTGTTACTTTTCGAGAGATAGAGGCTTGCATGTGAATATTATGTGTTTTCTGGATATAGGCTTACTCTTATAAGGCGCACTTTCGCTGTTGAGATTTTCGCGAAATTGTTTTCTGTTTCATATCACTGAACTGCGTCTAATTTCGTGGGCTACTAGCTCCATGTTCTGAGATTGCTAACGATTTTATCAGTAGTCATTTCGATCCTTAGACACCCAACACTCTTACCAGAATTCGTTTCGAGCCGCTGAGTTAATACGATGAAAAAGTAGAGTTATAATATCCCATGGAGTGTTTGAAACCAGTTAGGCAGCGTTCAGACTTCGCGACGGCAGCGCTTCGGTCGCGCGATTCGACGATCGATGCGCATGCTTTCGACTGCATCGATCGCGTCGAACGCGCGACCGAAGCGCTGCCGTCGCGAAGTCTGAACGCTGCCTTAGACGATTAGAATATGCGAAAGAGGCTAAGATAGTTGTTGGTAATTCTGAAGGCTTTTGGCGCTGCGTATCCTACCTTGCAGAGAAACGTGTTTGGCACCCAAGAAAATAGTGTATTTACTGCAGTCTGTTAGATGTGTAGCCTGACTGATTGGGAATTAGTGGAGAATAACTAAACTGCTGCCGAGCGCCAGGCGTTTTCACGCCGAATAGATGCGAAGTTTGTGTGGACCGTGGAAGTCGAATTACCGTCGCGCGAATTCCGGCAAAATTCGACGACAGGTCAGGGGGAGGAGTGCTTCTGCACTTTCGCCGCTTTCTCTCCTCCTGTCGAGGCATCAACTAGAGATTTCTGAAATGTGGTGATGCTGCGAGGTGGTACAAGTGAAGGTTTGTGGAAACTACTTCTCAACTCTTCTGAAGAATATCTGGTAAATCTTGTAAAACAATGAACACGACAACAAGATGCAACGGGAGTGCAAAATAACCCTCTCACGCCGTCGAGCTGCGCCTTCCAGCTAATTCACATTAGGGGAAAACTCAATAAAATCTGGCCTGACTGTCGAAGAGAGTGGGGCCGTTGAGGGTGAGCAGTGCCGACGTTTTCCAAGTGAAAACATGGGAATTCCCTCTTGAGATAGTGAGTTGCAACCCTTATGAACTGTTTGAAATCCAGATTTTTTTCGTTTTTTTTTTTCGTTAATTTTTACATACTTTTTTTGTCCCTAGTATCTCACCTGTTCAGTTTTTTTTTCAGTGTATTGTTATGTGTTTTCGTATGCACTTTGCTAAGGATCCCGTAGTTATCAATGCTGCTTCAGCGGCTGTACGACAATTAGTGGGATGTGTGTTCGAGCGTGTCATACAGGTGAATTTAAGCTTTCGAAACTGATGACCAAACTGTTTTTTACTGCGTGTGCGCGCTGCTGATCAAGATTCACTTAATATTGATTTAGGAGGATGGAGTTTTCAGCACAGAGCTAACTGTAGTACCGTCTTCTGGAGGACGTCCATCACCGAGATCTGCACCTCCGACACTACGACCATGTGCTGCCGACGCCTACTTGTTGTTCAAGGTATTTAAATTAGAAAGCTTTATGTTTTGTTGGTAACGACTGTATTCTCAGGATCTCTGCTTGCTGATTAACGCGAAACCAAGTGTATGGCTAGTAGGGATTCATGAAATGACAAGGACTCTTGGGCTAGAACTTATCGAGAATATTTTGAAAAGTTATCCTGGCGTGTTCTTTAGGGTGAGTGCCACGATCTTTTCTCTCTTTCCTGAAAAATAATTTCTCCTTTTTGCTCCTCATCTCTCCTATTTTAGCATCCTGAGTTCTGCGATCTGTTGAAGTCCGAAGTATGTCCACTCGTGATCAAGCTATTCTCCCCAAGCTTGAAGTCGGCGCACGTATGTTTTACTTTTTAGTTGTCCAGTTCGTGTTTTTCTCAGTCCGAACAACTTTATCGTCATAAATAATCTAAAAATTCGTGGGAAAAATTTCTGTTTATCGCCGTTTTTCATTTTTCTCGCCGTTTTGCTGGCAGTGGGAAAGAAACCAGTCATTTCTGTGGCACTAGTAAATTTATTCCGTTGACAGTTCAAGAAGGTGTCTCCATTACAATCAGGCCACATGGCGCGCTAGAAATTCCAGCAAGTGGGTCGTATTTGGTCGCTGGAGGGTTAGGAAAGGTCGTATTTGGCATGAGAAAGTTTTCTGAGAGTGGGTTTTCCCCGCTTCGTGGTCCACAGAAGCTGTCCACAGCTGAACTTTATAGTTCTCTGGTGGGAACCTACCCCACCCACACCTCCCGTCTTCGAATGTCCTCGACGGCAAGATTTCGGGAAAAACTGGAAAGTTGCGTAAAAAGTGACAGAAAAATGGCAGAAGTGACCAAGATGGTAGGTAGGATGGGGAAGGGGAAGGTACCTAAGGAGGCGCTTCGAGGAAGGTGGCTTTTTGCATGGCATTCCCAGTTTTGCACAAGAGGTCCTTTAAATGTCCCTCCTCTTGAAGAACTTGCTCCTTTTCCCTAAAAGTATGTGCTTAGGTATCATCTCAGCATCCATCGTCACGTTCATCTACTGGTGCTG